CCGGTGGGAACCGGGCTGCGGGTTTGTGCAGAGGGAGGCTCACAGGTCTCCCCTCGAAGCAGAGTCTGGGGTGGCAGGAGGCGTAGCCACCCCTTGCAACGTCCCGGTGCCTCCTTTCTGCCCAGCCCCAAGGAGATGCGCTCCCCTGCGGTGGGCTCGGCCCTGCCTGATCCGTCCCCTCCCGTCCCCCAGGCCGGCGAGTGCAGCGACACCTTCTCCACCTTTGATGTGCCCATCTTCACGGAGGAGTTCTTGGACCAAAACAAAGGTGAGGGGCTGGGCTGTGGGGCGGGGGGTGCCAGTGCTGCAGCAAGCGATGCTGCTGCTGGAGCAGCCTGCGTCCCGCGGGGCAGGACCATGGTGCTGGGCAGGGATCCAGGCTGTGAAGGGTCCCTGGTGAGGTTGGGTAGAGGGGCCAGATCCTGGCTGGAGCCTGGGTGTTGGTGAAGACTTGTGGCTGGGGAAGGGACTGGGTTTGGGATGGGGGGGAAGAGTCAGAGGCGCCACCCCTGCTGACGCCGTGCGGTCCTGGCAGCCCGGGAGGCTGAGCTGCGGCGCCTGCGGAAGATGAACACGGAGTTTGAGGAGCAGAACGCCATCCTGCAGAAGCACACGGAGAGCATGAACTGCGCCAAGGAGAAGCTGGAGCAGGAGCTGGCCCAGGAGGAGAGGCAGACCCTGGCCCTGCAGCAGCAGCTCCAGTCCGTGCGGCAGGCCCTCACCCCCCGCTTCGCCTCCCTCCCCATCCCCGGTGAGTTGGGGGTGGCCGTGCGGACCCGCTGGGACCCGGTGGTCACGCAGAGCAGCACCACTGGGGCTCTGCACGTGGTACGAGTGGGGGCAATGGGGTGGTGATAAACGCTCATCTGCTGATGGGGTGGGGTCCTGGGGCTCTGGGGGGGCTCTGCAGGGGACCTGGGGCTGTGACCACCGGTTGGGTCCCATGTAACAGGGTAGGGCAGGCTGGGAACTGTCCTCGAGCCGTAGTCACTGCTGTGCCTGCAGGGCCGAGATCAGCCCAGATCCTTCTGTTCCCGGGCTCGCATCGGTGCGGGCTGCGGGAGGTGGCACCCAGCATTCAGGGTCCCTTCCCCAGTCACCAGCACGATGGGCAGGGCTGGATGGGGACCCGGTGGCCCTGCTAACTGGGCTGTTGCACTGCAGGCACCGGGGAAACCCCCACGCTGAGCACCCTGGACTTCTACATGGCCAAACTGCACAGCGCCATCGAGAGCAACCCGCTGCAGCACGAGAAGCTGGTGGTGCGCATCAAGGAGATCCTGTCCCGAATAGCCAGGTGAGCCGGGCAGGGCTGGCCGGAGCCGGCGCCCAAGGGCCTGTGTGTCCCAGCGAGTGCTGGGACCACTGGGTCAGCCCGTGGTAGGGTGGGGGACGGGGAGAGTGTGGGCAGAGAGGGGCTGGGAGCTGCTCTGGGAGAGAAGCCACCCCCCCCAAATTCAGCCTTGCTTTCCTCCCTCCTCAGCGAGCACTTGTGAAGAGGACCACTCCCTCCCGGAGCCCCGGGGCCGGCCGGACCACGGCCCTGTCCCTTGGAGCTCACGCAAGGGACAGTCTCTGCTGGTGGTCCGGCTGCTTCCCCCTCCACCCCACGCACCTGACTGGAGAAGTGAGCTGGGACCCCCCCAGCCCCGTGTGCCTGGGCACCATCTCCAAGGACCTCGAGCTTCTGGGGACCAAGCGGCGCTAGTGACAGGGCTGAGACCCCAGCTGGCGCCGTGGTGGGCATGAGCATCCCCCCGCTCTCCTGCGAGCACCCCGGCTCCTGTGGCTCTGCCTCGCTAAGCCAGAGGTGCCCGCGGCTCCTGGCCTGGAGCGGATCAGCCTCCTCCAGGGTGAGCCCAGGGCTGTGACCGGGGGGAGGCAGCTGGGTGCCCTGGGGGCCCCCAGG